AGAGAGCGGGGGTTGGGTGTGGGCCAAACAGCGGCAATAATAATAATCCTCACAGGAACCTAAAGTACCAGCATTAGCGCGTATGGTCTTACATATTATTATGGTCCTTACATACATTATGGTGTCTCATTTGCTTTTTCACCCTCGTGAACAATCTTGAAAAGTTCCAGTGAAAAGTTTCTTCATGCCCTATAGTGGGAGGCAGAGGTTGTCACATACTTAATTACATACATCAGTCTTTTTTTCAATGTTGTACTTAAATGAGAACTCCGAAAAGTAGGCTAAAGTAGGCTCAAAAGTAAAATAGCTTTTTCTGCAGACAAACTGACCCTTTGGCATATTACTATAAATTATATTACTGGATTATTACATGTGGCGGGATGTAACATAATTTACTCAAGTGAGCAATTGTGAAAAGTTCAAGTCAAAGTTTATTCATAATAAAAACTACCACCCAATAATTAAACTACCCCGAGGTATATTAATTAAAACTAATTTCACCGTTGTTGGCTGCACCTTTAATTTATCCACACATTAATTCATTAATAAGCATAATAATCCAATCTAAAATACATTATTCTGAAGTGAGTCACTGTGCATAATGAGTACCTCTGACAATATTTTGATGGCAAGATTTGTTAACAAAGTATTTCTACACTGTGGTACATGCTTTACCTAAGAGATGTTAGTGTAGTAAGTTACCTCTTCCATCCGTGATTGTTACTATAACATCCAGTGGTGCAGGAAGTATTCAGATCTTTCACTTAAGTAAAATATATTGCAGTATTAATAATAATCTATGACAAGTAAAGGTATCAATTATGCAGAACATTGGCTCTTTATCAGTGTAACATTATTATCTACTGTATGTATATTACTATTTTAGTGCATTATAACAGCCACCACTCTTTGTACAATGTAAAAATTCTGCCAGACAAATTTGTACTCATTTTTTAGACTTTTCTTTAGTCTTTGCCCTTTTTGTGACATATTGAATCATTTAAACAGTTTTTAAATAAACTGACCTGACACCTTTACAGGGAAAATCACACTGCAGAGACTGGAAGCCAATTGTTTAATCTTTGGCAGCACATTGAGCTTTGTAAGCTTTAATGTCAAACTAAAGCAGGAACCCAGTAGCTGTGAAATAAATGTAGTAAAACACATAACATTTTCCTTAGACGCTTTTACTGAAAGTGAAAATACAAAAACTACAAGTACCTCAGAATTGTATTTGTGTTCAGTACGTGAGTAAATCAACTAGTCAGAGTACCTTGGTCTGGTGCCATGTAAGGCTGATATTTCCAGCCCCTAAATCATTTTTATTAGTCTAAATGCTGGGAATTGCTCATCACACTCCACTTTCCTCCTGTGTTCCTTCTGCAGAAAAGCTTTCAAGCTGTTCTGAACACTGTCTTTACAGCTGTTTGAGATCACACACGCTCTTAAAAGCTTCTACAAACACTGGCATTTGATGATTTTCTCTAGTTGCTGCTAGACAGAAAGATAGTGCAGATCCATTGTATTGTATTAATAATGTAAAGTGTTAGATTGCCATAGGGTAGCCTAATTGTATTTTCCTTTCCATCTTCACAATAGCACCACCATAGTACTTTAGATGTAATGTAGAACAGAACTTGGAGATGAGATTTTGGCTTGTGTAAGGGGCAGTCACTCAGTGAACCACTTTGGACCAGCAAGATATTAATATAAGCAGAAGAAAACACTCAGTCAATACAATGGCCCTGCAATTCAGTTCTCTTAAGGAATGCTGAAAATATTTCAGAGAGGTTTTGGTTCAACTTTACGATCAGTGTGGAGGCTGTTGTTTGTGGTTCTGTTCAACTGCACTGAGAGTTCAAACTAAACAAGGTCAGAGTGCTTTTATCCATTATGCTGCCCACAGCTGGAACCAGCGCCCATTAGAACTTTGGTCTGCCCCAACTGCAGCCTCTTTTAAAACTAAGCTAAAGAATGTTCTTTTTCCCACTGCTTTTGATTATTTACCTTAATTCCACCCAGTTTTGCACTTTATCTGCTTTTATTTTTCTTCCATTACTTGATGACCAATTGGCATCACTGTGCTGTTTAGCAGACTGTATAGACACTCATGTTTCAAATTTTCTGGATGAACAAACATCTGTCATGTGTTTATATAATTTGCATTCCAATCCATCCATGCATTATCTATGCCACTTATCCCTGAATAGGGTTGCAATGGCGCTGGAGCTAATCCTAGCTGGCATTAGGCGAGAGGCGGGGTCCACCCTGGACAGGTGGTAAGTCTATCACAGTTTGCATTCTAATATTTTATCTATATATCCATATTAATGTTTCATCTATCTGTGAGCATTGTATTAAGCACTTTGAATCACCATGGTGTATGAAAGTGTGCTAATATAAATATATCTTGCCTTGCCTCGTGTTGTTATGAGAGATGTTTCTAATATTTTGTCCATCCCATTCATAACAACAGCGGTTGAGCCTGTAGTAACCATAGTTTTGCCCTTAGCAACTTTTGTCTCTTTACATAAAAGAAACCTAGACATGAATTCAGACCTTTGGTGACACTATTAGGCACTTTATTTCACCAGGAAGTCTCTTTTACAAAAGAGTCCTGTGTACAGTCATATAAAAACATATATAAAAATTACATACACTTTATTCAGCCCTAAATAAAAAACACACAAACACTACAACACAGGTTAAAACAAGCACAGCAATTATTTTTGCAGTATTAGCTAATAACATTTGAAACTCTCTCAGAGGAATACATGTGTCTAACTTCAGTCTGTGTTGCCACTCATTCCAACAGTGAAGTGAATAGTACTAGAAGTCAGTCTTCCCCAGTTCAGAGCTGGTATGAGGAACTTTTAAAGCCAGACCCCCCCGAGCTCTTTTGGTAAGGTTATGGGTTCCCAACTTAACTAAGGATCTTAAATTTCTGAGCAGCTTAGACAATGAGGCATTATTGTTAGGATTGGATTTCAGGAGTTAAAGTTATTTTTCTACTTATCATCAGTATTATTTTGCTTTTATAATGGAAAAGTTCAGTATAACTATGTGTCTGTGTTTCATTAACAGCTCCATGTATCAGTATTAACCAGCTCTTATGCATGCATCATAGTCATAATATTCAGCTTTGGGTCAACTAGTAGTATTTCTTGTCTTCTTGGTGAAATGTGCATAAACTGATTGCAGAGATAAGTGTCATCCTGGAAACTATACTGTAGATAAGATGCTAACTGCACGTCTACTTTCAGAAACGCCTGAAAATACCAACACACACACATACACGCTGCTTATTCGAACATTCTAGAATATTTGTATGAACCTTGTATGAACGTCGTGTCCAGTTCATGTTGTGAGTGTTGAGTCAACAGATTAGAAGATAATATGAGTTCATATTTGTATGAACCTTGTATGAACCTTGAGTCAACAGATTAAAAGATAATATGAGTTTCACCCATGTTCAGGGCAGTCCCAGCCCGAGAAGATATATGTGAATTACTTCCTATTATCAGAGCTCTTGGGACTTGTCATCTCGTAGAGCCCAGCGCTGTAATAACTCTGCATTTAACCAGAAGAAAATAAATCTACGTAAAGCTGATTCTTGTTTCCTGAGTGTTACTTCTTGGG